GGGGTGCAGAAGCCACCACTTGCAACACTGGCTTCCCTTATTAGAGCACCAGGTCCAGTCCTGGCTGCTCTGCTTCTGATCCAGCTCCCTGCCAACTCACCTGGGAAAGCAGTGGAGGATGGCCCAAGCGCTTGGGCCCCTGCACCCATGTGAGGGACCCAGAAGAAGCTCCTGGCTCATGGTTTTCACCCAGCACAGCCCTGGCTGTTCCTGCCATTTGGAGAGTGAACCAGCCAATGGAAGAACTCTCTCTCTCCCTCTCTCTAACTCTGCCTTTCAAATAAATAAGTAAACAAATCTTAACAAAGTAGCAGGGAGGAGTCTCTCACAGGACTCCAGGTCCCCTGTGGTCAGTCCCATGCCTCCCTCCAGACCTCTGTCTCATACCTACCCCCCTTCAAACAATGCCTTGCTTCAAATGCCCTTGGGGAGTAAGTAACACATGCTTCCAGAAAGTTCTTCCTTGTGTCTGCTTTAGGTGTCTCCTGATGCAACTGAAATCCCAGGCAGCACCAGCCCCTGCTGCCTTGGGTCCAACACAGGGAGTCTTCTGGCCATGGAGTTACTTAGAACTGAGTCCGAACCCTGTTGTCCCCCAAGAGCTGTGGAACCAAGGTCAAGGAGGGGGCCCCTCCAAATCTCACTTTTCTCGACTGTAACAGAAGAATGAACAGTCTTGAGCTGCAGAGTTTTTGTGAGAGGTAAATAAAAATAAAGTCTTTAGCCTTGTACTTGGTATCTAACAGCCCCAATACATGGCAGATGCTCTTGCTATATATATATTTTTTGCTTTAAAAGATTTATTTATTTATTGGAAAGGCAGAGTTAAGGGGGAGAGAGAGAGAGAGAGAGAGAGAGAGAGAGAGAGAGACTCTTTCATCCTTTGGTTCATTCCCCAAATGGCTGTGATGCCCAGGGCTGGGCCAGGCTGAAGTTAGAAGCCAGGAGCTTCTTCCAGGTCTCCCACATGGGTGCAAGGACCCAAGCACTAGGGCCATCTTCTGCCGCCTTCCCAGGTGCATTAGCAGGAAGCTGGATCGGAAGCGGGAGCAGCTGGGACGAACCGAGAGGGCAGCGTCCTGTGCTACACCACCCGCCCCTGAGGGCTCAGGCTGCGATCGATCGTGGTTTCTTTGTCGTGAGAGTGAAGTCCCTGTGTCTGGTGGGCTTTGCTGCTGCCGCCGCAGCCTCATGCACCCTTGACCCCTGTAAGAAGGCTGCCTCCGCGGGACTTGCCGCCAGATCCCCCCTGCTGTGGGGTCACAGCTTGTTGCTGGATGCAGCAAAAACAAATATTGTTTTAGAAACATTAATAATTGAGAGGTTCTCAGCAGAGAATTGGCCGGCATTAGGGGAATTGAAAATTAAGACTGAGAAACTACCTCAAGCCGGTTTCCTGATGAATAATTCACTGGCTGGCGCCCACAGAGACTCCGGGACAGAAGATACCTGCTGTGTCTGTCCTCCCTCCTGCCACTGCCCCTGCACCCCGACTTGTCCCTGACTCCCCGGTGGGAAAGGGGGCATCCGGTGAGCGCCCTCTGCACAGCAGAGTTCTGTGTGGAATTCTCACTTTTTTTTTAAGCATGTATTTATTTATTTATTTATTTGAAAGAGTTACACAGAGAGAAGAGAGAGAGAGAGAGAGAGAGAAAGGCAGAGGCAGAGGCAGGGGGAGAGAGAGAGAGAGAGAGAGAGAGAGAGAGAGAGAGGTCTTCCACCCGCTGGTTCACTCCCCAGTTGGCTGAAACGGCCGGAGCTGCGCCAATCTGAAGCCAGGAGCCAGGAGCTTCTTCCAGGTCTCTCACACCAGTGCAGGGGTCCAAGGACTTGGGCCATCTTCTGCTGCTTTCCCAGGCCATAGCAGAGAGCTGGATTGGAAGTGGAGCAGCTGGGACTGGAACCAGTGCCCATACGCGATGCCGGCGCTGCAGGTGGTAGCTTTATCCGCTGTGCCACAGCACTGGCTCCCTCAGTCTGGTTCTTGCTGCTGTGATAGGGGGCCCAGGACCTGGCGATTTATGAAGAGCAGAGGGTTACTGAGTCTACGGCTCTGGAGGAGGCTGGTTCAAGAGCATGGTGCCACTACCTGCCTGGCTTCCTGGGGTGGGGGCAGGGGACGGCAGGGGCCCTGTGCTGTGTCACAGGCAGGTGCCTGGGAGGGGGCAGCTTTGCTTTCCCCATCACAACCTGATCTTGCGGTGACCAACACAGCCTTGCCAGAGGCAGCCCTCGCTGCCCAGCCCCTTGAGAGCTCCTGATCACGTGTCCCAGTTCAGGGCCCCTCAGTGAAGGTGGGACTAACTCAGGGTGCAGTCCATCCTCCACAGCACTGCTTGGTGTCGGGCTCAGGTGAGCGAGACCACACAATCGCGTAACCCTTTCCTGCTTCCCGCATCTCCTGGGAGCCCTCTTGCCGTGGCTTCCTCGCTAAGTCCCATGGAGGATCTGCTTCTGGGCGACCCAAGATAAGAAGCCTTCTTCCTCCTGACAACGTGCCTGTGATGAGCTGCGGGAAGAGAACCTGGCTTGCCCCGGAAGCTCCTGGCTCGGAGAGCGCGCTATCCAGGGAGTCCTTCCGGTTCACCGACTGCTTTTGGGATGGGGAGAAGAGAATGGTTCAGGAAGAGGGGTGGAGTGCAGGTGCAGGGAGCGTGAGGGACAGCCTGTGTCCTGGCTTCAGGATGGAGGTCAAGGGGGCAGACAGGAAGAGAGGGCTCTCCTCATGGAGAATGTGAGGTCCCCGGGCCCAGCCTCTCTCTCTCTCTCTCTCTCTCTCTCTCTCTCTCTCTCTCTCCTGTCTCCGCGGTCGGCTGCACAGACCGCATTTGTAAGCAGCTTTCTCTCCAGCCCAGTTAATAATGCAGGAGCCTGTGCCTCCGCCAAGTCATCATTCTAACCCTGCCACCTGAGTGCTGGGCTGCTGGACAGGGGAGAAAGAATCACCAGGCTGCCTTGAAATACACTGCTCACTTCAGGGCCTGCTGGGTCCCCGGTGCTGCTGGGGAGGGTGGGTGGAGAAAGCCAGGCTGTTGACCCGGAGGTGGACGTGAGGGCACCGCACGGGGGGCTGTGGGAGGGCTACAGGAGTGGCAAGAGGAGACGCCACTGCCTGGGAGTCCCTGCGTGTGGGCGTGACTTCCTGCCTGGGAGTGTGGGAGACCCTCAGTGCCTGGAAGCAGAGAGGGCTGGGAGAGATGTTCATGGTTAAGACTGCCTGGCAGGGCTGATGCTGCGGCATAGTGGGTAAAGCCATAGCGGGTAAAGCCGTCACCTGCAGTGTCGGCATCCCATATGGGCACCAGTTCGAGTCCTGGCTGCTCCACTTCCGATCCAGCTCTCTGCTATGGCCTGGGAAAGCAGTAGAAGATGGCCCAAGTGCTTGAGCCCCTGCACCCATGAAGGAGACCTGGAGGATGCTCCTGGCTCCTGGCTTCGGATTATTCCAGCCATTGCGGCCAGCTGTGGAGTGAACCAGCGGATGGAAGACCTCTTTCTCTCTCTCTCTGCCTCTCCTCTCTCTCTGTAACTCTTTCGATAAATAAATAAATCTTAAAAAAAAAAAAAAAGCTTCCCGGCTTCAAATCCTGTCCGTGCCTGCATTCCCCCTACCTAGAGTGGAGTTAGCACTAGGAGACTGACACAAACTGCCCTCCCACACGGTTACACAAAGGAAAAGAAGAAAAAGCCGACAAACACAGGGCGAGGGCAACTTGACCTTTGAAAAAGCAGACGCTTTTCTCACGAGGTGAAACGCACGTGCCTCTCTACCCAACTGGCAGCCCCATGGCTGGTGATTTGCTCATCCGGGTGTCATGAGCAGCAGGTTCACACCTACACCTGCATGCGAGGGTGCGCGGCGGTTTCATCTCCCTGCAGTGGGGAAAGCTGGGAAGGTCTCAGCTAGGACACCTTGGCTGCTGCCAAGGGACACAGGAGAGCTCTGGCCGCCCTGAGGAGCCCGGGGCTCTGGACCAAGGGGGTCCACGGGCAGCTGTCACTGCAGTGGGGGCCCCCGGCTTTCCTTGTGGCGCTGGCCTTTCTCCTTGGGGTCCCTGGAGCAAGGGGAATGTCTTAAAGGGAAGGGAGCGGAGGGCGGTCGTGGGGCGTGGTGAGCTGACCAAGCTTCCCCCGGAGCTGTGTGTGTAGAAGACAGGGCTCACTGGCTGCTGTAGACGGGATCTCTGCGTCCCTCCCAGTCTGTCCACTGTAACCCACTCCCCCTGATGAGGCAGTGTTAGGAGGTGGGGTCTTGAAGTGGAACCCTCACTCTTACAAAAGAGACCCCAGCAAGCTCCTGCCGCCATCCCCAGGAACAGGTGCACCTTCCGCAGACTCCTGACACACACACTATCTTGACCTTGGCCTTCCTAGGCACCGCAAGTGTGAGACACAGAAGTCTGTGGTTTGAGGGGCCCCTGTCTCTGGTGTGTTGACAGCCATCCCCGAGGGAGGATGCCTGGGCGGGAGCAGGGCTTCCGCTTCCGGTTTGCGCTGGGTCTGCTTCCGGTCAGTGCTGGGTCTGCTTCCGGTCTGTGCTGGGTCATGGGTGCTCAGACCCTGCTGAGCGACGTTGGGGTTTGGAGGATGTTGCAGAAGAATGCAACTGCAAAGAACCGCTGAGGCCGGAGACACTGAGGGGCCCAGCGAGACACGTGGTGGCTTCTGTCCATGGGGGCACACTCTCCTTTATGTGAATGAAGAAGACAGAAACCCCCGTGCCTGTGGTACAGGTAAGTGAGCGCCATCTGAGTCTCCCCTATGGGTGGCAGAGCCTCAAACCCTCGGGCCTCCATCTGCTGCCTCCCAGGTGCATCAGCAGAAAGCTGGATCTGAAACACAGAGGAACCTGGACTTGAACTAGGTGCCCTGCTGGAGGATGTGGGCACCTCTGACCCGGGCACCACACCACCTGCCTTCCCCAAGGCGCTCTCGCAAGTTCAAGGCTCGCCCCTGGAAACCTGGGCCGGGGGAGGCCCACACAGACCCGCACACGTCTGGCCTCTCCAGATACCTTTTATTGTCTCGGGAGCCCCTTCAGCTTCCCCCCAGGCACCCACTGGATGACTGCACCATTGCCTCTGGTCTCCTCCCCTTGGCCGACTCACTCAGCTCCCAGCTCTGCGGGGTCAGCCCCACGGTGCTCCCCGTTATCCTGACAAGGAGAGGGGTGGAGACGTGAGCCTGCCCACCCAGCGGGGCCATGATGGCGAAAGGCCCCAGAACTTCCCGTCTCAGGCTGGGCAGGTCCCTGCAGGTGGTTCTTGACATGGACCAGCCCCACCGCGATGGCGCGCCTGTCTTCTGAGCTTGTCATGCTTGGGTTCGGTTGTAGGTGGCGTTCACTGCTCAAGACGGTTTCCTAGCAGGGGGCTCTCAGTATAGCGGACACCTGTCGCTGGCCACGGATGACGCCACCGCTGAGTTTTGCTGCAGCTGGTCCTGCTGTGAGGCTGCTCAATGCAGATGGCTGGATAGGTCTTGCGAGGGACCGCTCCTCACTCACGTTCACAGTCCTGATGCTGTCTCTCCCTGGCCGTTTCGAGGCAGTTGTTCTTGGCCTTGTGGGATACAGCCCTGTTAATACTGCTGGTCTCATCCTTGGCTACCGAGTGTCTTGCTATAGATGACACTTGGCAACCATAGTTAATGCTACATGTAGTCTGTTACAGGTCGGACCCACACATCTGCGGACTCCGAATCTGCGTGCATTTTCCCACTGGCTTTGGTATTCTGGCTGTGGTCTGGATTGGCTGGGCCCTCGTGCTGGTGGATCTTCAAGGCGTTGACGGAGAAGGCTGGGGGTGGGGGTGGGGTCTTCTCACAGAGGCCCGTGCTCCTGGGACGGCTGCTTGCCGGGGGTGCCCTGGCTGCTGCTTGTCACGTTGCCCACCTCTGCTGCCTTGGTCTCCTGGAGTTTGGTGTTGCTGTCGAGGGCGCTGGGCACACTGCTGTCTGCCCCGAGGCTCTGGGTGCTGCTGGCCTGGCTGGAGCGCGGCCCGCTAGTGGCACTGAGCAGCCCGCTGCTCACCTGGTAGGTAAGGATGCTGCTGCCCGGGCTGATGAAGCTGAGGCTGCCCAGGCTGCTGCTGCTGCCCGTGGGCAGCCTCGTCTCACTGTTCCCCTCCAGTCTGCTGGGTGCTGTGCGCTGGGCTGCCGAGCCGGCTCTGCTTGAACTTTTTTGGGGGGGATCTGCTGCACAGCTGGCTGCTCTCGGAGCTGCCCCCCTGGGCGTGGAGCCTTTTGGTCAAGCGCAGGAGGCGACGGCTGTCCACCAGGTCCACCTCGCTGCTCTCCTCATCGCCCGCGTAGCCGCTGCTCACCAGGCTGGCGTCGCTGCGTTCCTCCAGCCGGGGCTGTCGCATGCCCTGCACGGAGCTGGCACTGCTGCGGGAGCTCCCCAGGTCACTGCGGGAAGCTTTCAGGGGCTCCACGCCGGGGGACGCTGCGTTTCGCTCTTGCCCTACAACATCCCAGGCCGAGGACTCCCCCTTTTCTCCTTCGAGGAAAATGGGGGGCAGCTGATCTGGTTTCTCCAGGAGGAGCGGGCCTTGGGGAGGGCCTCTGAGTGTTGGTTCTGGCTGGCCTGGGGAGGGGTGACTCAACTTACAGGGCTGCCCTGGAAAACTGAGTGTTCTGATTGGCTGTCTTGGTTGTCATGGTGACAAGCCTTGTGAGGCAGGGGCGGGGTGGGGGTGGGAGAACAATGCTGCCTCACCCTGGCACTAGTTACATCCCTGGTGGCCCGCCCTGGGGGAAGGGGTTTGGGCAGAAAAGGGGCTCATGGCTGGGGGGGGGCGGTGAGGACCACCTTCCTGGGTGGTTCTGAGACATCTGTGCCCCCTCCCCCACACCTCCCACTGCGGTTCTGCCAGCCCCCAGCTCTGGAACCCGGCTAAGCCCCAGGATCCTCCATCTACTAGCTGTGTGATCTTGGGCAAGTACCTACCCTGTCTGAGCTCCCTCCAAACAACGTCAGCACCAGTGGTTTCTCTGCAGGAAACAGGTGAGGAGCTGGATGTTGGCAGAAGGTGGCCTCCGAGCTCAGCCCTGCGGGATGGGGCGTGCTCTGAGAGCCTAGGCTGTTTAGCCAGTGGCCCCTTCCCCACTGGGGCAGCTACCACCCCCGCCCCCCGCCGGCTTCTGCTGAACACATGTTGAGGGCGGAGGTTGCTGCTGGAGAAAGCCTGAGACAGACCCAGGCGTGGGTGAGCAGCCTCCAGCCAGCTGGCCAGCGACCTGCGGCTGACCCTGGAGGGTCCAAAGGACTTGGCTGGGGGTGTCAGTGGAGTCTGGGGCTGGGTGGGGACAGCCACTGTCCCCCAGGGTCATGGTGAGGGGTACGTGAGGCCCCTCCTGGCACCTGGTGAGTGCCCCATAAACACTAAGAACAAGGACCCCACCCCTGCTCCCCCAAGGCTGTGGCGGGACCTGTTTGAAGAAGTGGAAGCTGGGAGACATAAGGAATAGAGCTGGTGACAAAAGGCCAGGACCTCAGAGAAGCCCCGCCCCCGGCTTGGGGGTGGAGGAGAGGGGCTTCAGGCTCAGGGCTCAGACAGGTGAACTCTCCCAGGATCCTCACAGGGCTGCTGCTTTCCTAGTCTGTCCTAGGCAGAGAGGTCCGCGCCCCTCCCAGCAGGGAGCCCCCTCTGTGGCCAGCAGAGGGCGCTGAGAGCAGACCGCACGGGCGGCACCCGTCCCGGGAGCTCATTTTTCAGCTTAGCACCAGTCAGGGTTCCTGGGTCGCCGCCTTTCCGTTTCGAACCCAGACAGTCCCGCGCCAACCGAGGTGAGAGGTCGTCTTACGTGAGCCAAGTAAGGTGGGGGAAATTGACCCCCGGAAATCCCATTCATCCTCGAGCCGGCCACGGACATTCATAGGCGTGGTCACAATTGAGAATCACCTGTGGCTGGGAGGATGCGGGGAGTTCAAGTTCAAATCCCTGCAAAGTCCGCAGTGGCGGGCCCTGGGAGGGGCGGGGTGGGACCAGGTGTCTTGCTTCCACCAGGTTGCAGGGTGCGGACTCGATTAAGCTCAGACTCAGACCCTACTTCCTCCTAGCTGTGCCACCTGGGCATAACTTCCCAGCCTCTACGTCTTCCCTGTAGAACGAGGTTGGCAAATGCTAGTGGTGGAATCCTTGAGATCCCAGAGTGTGTGTTTTGCCATCCACGGTTCCCCAGCACCTGGAAGAGGGGACATGGGTGGCAGAGGCCCAAATACTTGGGTTGTCTTCCTCTGCTTTGGGCACATTAAGAGGGAGCTGGATCGGAAGGGAATAGCTGGGACTCAAACAGGCTCTCAGACAGGGAGAGCTTGGCTGAACCAGGGGCGTGTGGGTGGGTTGAGGGGGTGGGCACTTGTGTCATGGGGGGCGTGTGTGTGAAAGTGTGGGATGTTGGGTGTTCAGAGAGGGGGCAGGCAGAGAGGTGGGGGTGGGACTGGAGTAGAACCTGCACTCCCTGTGTCCCCCACACCTGAGCACGCAGGACTCACAGGTGCAACCCCAGGCCCCAAGCTCCAGAGTCTGTCTCCACGTGTGCAAGCAGAGTTGAGGCAGTCGATGGGGCCTCTGGCTGGGGGCTTTTGAATGAGGGTGGTGGGGCTCCACCCCAGCCACCTCCCAGAGGAGCAAACCTTGCCAGCCCAGCCCCTAGACCCACCTGGCAGGCGATCTCATCTGTTACAAAGTCCCCACTGGGCCTGCCAGGGTCTGGACCACCCCCAGCCGGCTGAGTGTGAGCTGCGACCCCTTCATCCAAAGATTCCTTCACATTCACCAAGAGGAGGGGTTATGGGCAGATAATAACGACTTAAACCCCCGGGTTGGGGGGGAGCCTAGTGCCTTTTTGTGGGGGGCGCTCGGTGCCGAGCCCGTGGAAGCCATCCAGCACGCCAAAGGTAGTTCATCTGTTTCATTCAAACGAAGGGACGGAATTCTTCTGATTCGGACTGATCACGTCTCAGCGGGGATGGGCCGCCAGCGCTCTCTGGGCAGGGCGCTCTGTCATTGCGGCCACTTCTGCAAGTGCACTGGAGGAGCCGTGGCCGCAGGGACGGGGTGGCCCGACGGGGAACAGGAAGGGTAATGAGTTCCTTCTTCCCTCCTCTGGAGAAGCTGCCGTTGCTTGTGTCTCTGAGTGAAACAACTCCGTCTGGAGAACAGGGCACGGGCTGTGTTTGAACTCCACCTGCTGTTCTGCCCCCTGGCCTGGAAGCCTGGGCCCCTGCCTGGCAGGGCGAGGAGGAGGCCAGGGTCCTGGGGGCACAGGGGTTGTGTTGTCATCTGCATTAGAGAGGTGAGGGCAAAGCTCAGAAAGATTCAGAGGACTGTGCATGGCCAGGGCAGGACCCCGCTTATTTTTTGAGCTGTGGAAGCTCTAATGGCCGATGACTCTGGCTTGAAGACCCGGTAAGCTGCGTGCTGCCTGCTGACCTGTGTGGGGTGTTGCTGGGCCAGCCGCTTCATCTCAGCTTTCTGTTCCAACCTGCTGCATTGTATGAGGGAGTGAGTGAGCAGTGGAGCTGAGCCCCAGGCTTGCTGCGTAGTGACCGCTAAGGGTTATTGAACTTTATGGAGCGGCTGTGGGGGCCCAGCACACCACTTGGGATGCCCCAGCTCCTGTCACAGAGTGCCTGAGAGCAAATTCTGCCTCCGTGTCTGACCGGGTCTCTGCTAATGTGCCTGGGAGGCAGCAGGGGGTGGCCTACGTCCTTGGGTCCCTGCCACCCATGTGGGAGATCCCGATGGAGTTCCTGGCTCCTGGCTCAGGACCTGGCGTAATTTCGGCTGTTGTGGGCATTTGGGGAGTGAACCGGTAGATGGAAGATCTTTTCCTCTGTTTCTCTCTCTCTCTGTCACTCTGCCTTTCAAATCAATAAAAATACATGAAATTTAAAAAAGGTAAGTTTACTTTGGTGTGGTGGTTTTGGAAATTCATGCATAGCTTTATCATAATATGCATTTTCCATGGAGTTTTTAAAGACCTCCCCTGGGTGTGCACACACACACACACGCACACACACGCACGCACTGCATTCTAGGGCTCTTCGTTGTTATTGACTTTGACCTTCCCACTTCAGGGAGTGCCATAAAAGGGCCATACCGTACTTGCTCTAAGACACCGTGCACGTGCAGCAGAGGGCGAGATCTGGCCCTTGGACGGACCCCAGAGCCCGTGTCTTTTCTGCTACACCAGGTGGTGGAAAGTCTGGGCAGGGGAAGGGGTTTTGAGATGCTGGTGTGGAATTCCTCCTTTCTCTGCTTTGGCTCCCTCTGTAACACTCTTCACCACGCCTGCGTAGTTTACTCCCTAATTTTGTTCCTGGTTTGCCCCCGCCCCTGCCCCTGTTGTGTGTTTGGGTTTGCTTGGTCTCCTGCGCCCCAGGGCCTGGAGCCACAGCTGGGCGGGAGCAGTGGTTGAGCAGGTGCAGGCTTGAGCCTGTTGTTAAGCGAAATGTTTGACATGGTGTTCACCCCGGTACTTTTTTTATTCTTAAAGATTTATTTATTTATTTGACAGTCAGAGTTACACAGAGAGAGGAGAGGCAGAGAGAGAGAAAGGTCTTCCATCCGCTGGTTCACTCCCCAATTGGCCACAACGGCTGGCGCTGCGCTGATCCAAAGCCAGGAGCCAGGAGCTTCTTCCGGGTCTCCCATGCAGGGGCCCAAGGACTTGGACCATTTTCCACTGCGTTCCCAGGCCATAGCAGAGAGCTGGATGGGAAGTGGAGCAGCCGGGTCTCTAACCGGCGCCCAAATGGGATGCCAGTACTTCAGGCCAGGTCGTTAACCTGCTGCGCCACAGTGCTGGCCCCACTCCTGGTATTTTTATATGTTCGTTTTCAATAATATTGTAGGAAAAACTTGCCATCTGCATTATGAACTTCCGCCCGCAAGGCACGTGCTTCCCTTATCTCCCCAACCCTCCCCACACCACGTAGAGGTTTGCAGAATGAGTGATGTCCCGTTAGGTAGGGAGACTCGTTCCCTGGGTCTCCAGAGGAGAGACTGTCCCCCAGCGGGCACCCAAGACAGCAAACGGAGCTCCTTTCACTTGGCTCCGTCACTGGGTGGCGGTCAGTGTGTGTGTGTGTGTGTGTGTGTGTGTGTATGTGTGTGGCGGGCGGGGGATTGTGGAACCCACTGGAGCGTGAATTTCCAAAACCGGAAGGCACGACTTCCAGGGCACTCTGAAAACCTGTGTGGAATTTCATTGCATCCATGGAGACCACAGCCCCTTTCCCTCTCCTGGGTGTTGTTTGCACTTAAAAGCCACAGCAGGTGCCATTGACCTGCACTGGCCTAAGGAGTTCTGGCTGCGCCAGTGCCTGCCTCCCCCTCCCGCAGCGGTGCACCTGTGGCGGAGGCAGCTGGGTTTCTCCGTGACGCCTCGGAAGCGGCTCTGCTAAGGGGCATTGGCTCTTGCTCCACCTTCGGCTTTCCTTTCCTCCAGAGCCGAGTCTCGTCGAGATGCGTTCTTATAATTAAGGCCAGGGTGAGAAATAACCTCCTGTATAATTTAAAATGGTAAAATTCGCGCTACCTTTCCCGGCCTCGGCTTTAAATCTTAGCTGCCAACGACTCCCCTATTAACGGCCCTAATTAAATCCATTTTTCAGGACATCTTTGGCAAATTCCATTTGAGCAAAAGTGTAGGAAGTTCAGTTTGATTTGTCTCTGCTCCCCAGAGCCCTCCTGTGAAAGTGAGGACAGGGCGGATGCTCCCCTCTCGGGTTGGTTATTGAGCGCCTACTGTGTACACAGGCATCCAAGGAAGAGAGAGGGAGGGAGCAGCAAAAGGACAGTAAAATTCCTGCTTTCAGGGCCTCTTTTCATTCATCCAACAAACGTGTATGGAGTTGTCTAACAGGGGAGCCACTGTGTTAAGGCCTTGGTGCAGTAGTGATGAGAGCCCTCCCTCTCCAGGTCACCACAGCAAGGTCACCAACCCTCTGAGGTGACAGAGACAGTGAGTATTCAGGGTCATAAACTCTCCGGAAGGGTTAAGCCCAGGGGACTGTGCAAACTCCCAGGAAGACTGCAGCTCAGCCGGGGAAGCTGGGCTTGGGCGCAGATTCCCTGGAGCTGAGTTGTGAGGGTTAACTCGGGGCTTCCCAGGTGAAGCAGGGAGAAGGAGGCGGTGGTGCAGGAGCTGGGGCAGATGGGCACGGGGCCCAGGTTCCTGCATGGGGACAGCACGAACCCTTTGCTTGGGTTGCAGCCACACTGCCAGCTCCGGCCACACGTTGGAGTCACCGGTGAGCTTTGGAAAACTACAAACACCTGCACAGCATTCCCGACCATGCAAGTCTTGATTTGGGGGGTGGGGCTTAGGCACTGATTTCTCTTTCGTGTTTCCCAGCAAGGGATGAGGGCCACCAGGTTAAAGCTTGCAAAGCAATGAGAGGTGAGGCTGGAGAAGGAGGCAGGGGCTGGATGGGGCAGGGTCCTGGGAGCCTGGGACGGGCTCGGATCCCCACCTGAGGGTCATGAGATCCTGGAGGGGTTGTAAACGGGGGGAGGAGCAGCTTACACTTGTGCTTCTGAAGGAAGGACTCTGCCCGTAGTGCGGAGGGGGAATTGGACTGGGGTCGCCGGAGGCAGAGAAATGGGTAAAGAGGCGGTTGTAGCCATCTGGGAAAGAGAAGATGGTGGCCTGGGCCTAGGGACGTGGCCTTGGGGTTGGAGAGAAGAGATATTTAGGAGGCTGAGTTGGCAAGATTGGCTGGTGAATCCTGGAACCTCGATGAGGTAGGGGAAGGAGTTTAAGATGAGTCCCTGTGGCTTGAGTGGCTGGTTGGAGGATTGTGACATTAACCATCAGAGACAAGGAAAGGTGGTGATCTGGGTTAAGACGAAGGATTTGATTGGCATCTGGAGTCAAGATCTGATACTTGGGATTGTGTTCTGTGTGGGGACAGCAACCGGGGAGTCCACTGTGATTCAGCCTCGGAAGATCTCATCCAAGGAGGCTACCTGGGCCAGGCTTGGCTGATCTTGCCTGGGCTCATTCATGGTCAGCTGAGAGGCTGGCTGGGGCTCAGCTGGTCCCGGATGGCCTCGGCTGGAACAGGTTGTCTCTGCTCCATGTGGTCTCTCAACCTCCAGCTGGGCTGGCCCATGGTGCGGGGTCCCAGCAGGGGCAACAAGGACTCGGGGAAAGAGCAAGCCTGGACGTTTGAGGAAGAGGAAGGAAGCCACTGGGATGAGCGTGCCTGGGGACGAGCAGTGGACCACCAGAGAGGGAGGTGGGGGAAGGCAAGGCGGGAGGAGGGCTTGAACAAGTTCATGCAACGTGTGCATTGTGAAGAAATGGTGCACCATTTCATCAAATTTTGCACCCAAAAAAATTCATTTTTCCGTTCTGCTTTCCGTGGGAGGGGAAGTACCTTCCTTTTTTTTTTTTTTTGACAGGTAGAGCTAGACAGTGAGAGAGAGAGAGAGAGAGAGAGAGAAAGGTCTTCCTTTCCGTTGGTTCACCCCCCAAATGGCCGATATGGCCGGTGCACTGAGCTAATCCGAAGCCAGGAGCCACGTGCTTCCTCCTGGTCTCCCATGTGGGTGCAGGGGCCCTAGCACTTGGGCCATCCTCCACTGCACTCCCGGGCCACAGCAGAGAGCTGGACTGGAAGAGGAGCAACCAGGACAGAATCTGGTGCCCCAACCGGGACTAGAACCCGGGATGCCGGCGCCGCAGGCAGAGGATTAGCTTAGTGAGCTGCAGCGCTGGCCGGAAGTACCTTCCTTTGATGAGCTGTGTGCATTCTGGCTTTTCCTTTTATTAGACTTTTTTGCTGTTAGCTTCACTTGGATAGGTCCAGTTTGGCTTCCACAACATGGAAAAGGTTGTCCCCCCCACCCCCCGGCCCTGCTGATGGGGACCCTGCTTCTCCCTTCTCTGGGCTGGGCTGCTATTTCCTTACCATCTGGAGCCACAGAGGGGCCGAAGACAGGCTCAGCTGCTGCTGCTAAAACTTGCTTCTCAAGTCCCATCTTCCAGGACGGCAGGACATGGCCCAGAGACCAAACCCCACCACTGCTTGCTTTAGTGAATGAAATTTTTTGCTGGGCCCAGTCATTCACCTACTGTTCTTGGTCCCTTTGGTGCTGAGTCACTTTGATGGGGACCAGATAGAATATCTCTCAGCCTGTCCTGCTTAGAAGGGTGGGGCATGTTCGGGTCTGCGGCATTGTCCTTGGGCAGAAGGAGTGTGAGTGGCTTGCAAACCCACCCTGGCCTGGCTTCTGGCAGCCCTGCCTCTCTGGGTCACCAGCAGCCCTGCCCCAGGACACGGCGAGTGTCCTGGCATCTCTGTCTGCTTGGGCTGTGACAGGGGGATGCCACAAGCTGGGTGACTCAAGTAGCAGGCTTTCATCTCTTATGGTCATGGGGGCAGAAGTTCAAGGTCAGGGTGTCAGTGTGGTCAGCTTCCAGTCTCCACCTACTGGGCCAGTCCTCACACTACAGAGAGAGAAGGCCAATGCATTTTGGTTTTCTTCCCCTTCCTCATGGTGGTGGTGGTGGTGGGTGTCTCACATTCCAGACCTCATCAAAGTCTAATTAGCTCTCAAGGGCCCCACACATCTCAATCACAGTCATTTCTGAGGCTTGGGGGCGATATATTCAGTTTTAGAAAAGCAGGAGGAAAAAAGCCATTATCTTAAAGCTTTGACCAATAAAACAGCATCCCCTCTGGAGCAATGGAATGCTATCACATCCCGCTGCCTCAGTTGAGAGTTCTGGGGGACACACCCCTTTAACCTGCCACACCTGTCGCCGCTCACCTTTCTCAGAAGGAGGGCCGGCTGGACAGTGGAGGCAGCAGCCAGTCAAGTGCACATCTTGGAATCCCAAGTTTCCTTCTGGAAAGAGTTCATGATAACCCCCACCTCTCCGGGCCTCAAAGAGCCTTGCTTGTGCTGTGTTTAGTTGGCAAAACGAAGTGCTCAATTTTAAACTATTAACAATACCCTGAATTTCAGGAAATCGGCTCTCTCTCTCTCTCTCCTCTGTCTTGGAGAATAAGAAGGCCCTCTGGCAACGGGTGGGAGTGGAATCAGCAATTTTGTATGCAACCTGCATCTCTGTAATTTCTACAACTCTGGGCAATATACCTGATTATAGAAAAGGAGCAAAAAAAAAAAATCAATATCTCAAAGCTTGCAGCCAATACAATCTCGCAGGTGGCAATTGCACCCTCACCGTGTCCGCTGGGCTGACTCGCAGCGTGCTCAGTGCCAGGGCGGAGAGAAGCTGGGTGAGGTGAGGGAGGCTGCTACTGGGACCGATGCAGATGCTAGCGCTGTGATCTGCTCACGGGGCGCGCCTGCCTCGGAGTCTCCTATTGGTCAGCGTCCCGGGAACCCGTTCCCGGGAGCCTGGGCGAGGAGCACCCGGGAGGTGGCGCGCGTGAAGATGAATCGCCCAGCACAATATTGATCGGGCCGCTTTCTCTTTGGAAACAGGGAAAGCCAATTAACGGATCAACGAGCTGGCTCAGTGAACCGCGCCCCGCTGGGAGCCCCGCTATTGTTTCAGCCATAAGGCGGGGGACTCGCACCCCGGGAGGTTTTGGAGAGCTGTGGCGGGGGGTCTTGGGCTCAGACTGAGCCGTGGTGGAGTTTGAGCCCAGTGCCTGCGCACCGCAGGTCTTTGGAGATTCGTGCAGGCTTTCTGACCTTGAGTTTCTTTTTCAGGAGAAAGCGGGCCATGCAGCCACTCAGGGGGCCAAGGGGAGCTCGGTTTTGTCCTTTACTGGTTGGTCTTACTCTGAGATACTGGGCAATTTTCCTGACCTCTCTGTGCTCCAAATCCGCCCCTCTCTCAGTCAGGGAATGATAATAACGGAAGACCCATTCTCCTGGGTGGTTAAGATGAACAGAGCCAGGCATTCAGAACCATAACTGCAAAAAAAAAAAAAAAAAATTAGCTTTTCTAACTGTTATACATGCAACAGATATTTATCAAGCACGTGTTAAGTGCCAATTACTGTTCTAGGTGCTGGAGTTAGAGCTGTGGACCAGGGTAAAGTCCCATCCCCTCATGGCGTTGGCATCATTTGGTGGAAGGATTCTTCTTTCCCCATTGAGTTGTGTTTGCACCTGTGTCAAGGATCAGCTGGCTGCACCTGTGGAGGGAGGGCTCTAGGTTGATCTGTGTTTCTATCTGCCTCTGCCATGCTGTCCTGATCACTATAGTTCTATACCGAGTTTTAACAGTGGGTAGCAAGGTTTCTCCTGCTTTATTCTACTTTACAAGAATTATTCTTTGGCCTTTCCATCTAATTGTAGAGTAAGCTTGTCTGGATCTACAGACGTCCTGCTGGAGTTTGGAAAGAGGTTATTTTAAACTTGCACGTCGATAGAGAGGATTGATATTACTACGTGCTGTATCTCCCAATCCATGAGTGCACAGTATCTCTTCATTTATCTCTCTGATTTCTTTCGTAGTTTTCAGCACACATGCCCTATGAGATTTTGCTAGATTGATTCCCAAGCATTTCATCCCCCCCCCCACCCCGTGAAATTGTCAATGGGATTGCGTTTTTAATGTTGGTTTCTCTGCATCCATTGCTGAGAAACGTGTTGACCTTTGTGGGTTGATTTTGTGTCCTGTGACCTTGCTGAGTCCACATATTCATTCTAGGTGTGTGTGTGTGTGCGTGTGTGTGTGTGTGTGTGTAGGTGCTTGGAATTTTCTGCATATGTAGTCATGTCATCTGCAAATAGGGACAGTCAATTCTTTTCTGCTCTGTACAGATAACATAGATATCTGGAATCTTTTTTTTTTTTTTTTTGACAGGCAGAGTGGACAGTGAGAGAGAGAGACAGAGAGAAAGGTCTTCCTTTGCCGTTGGTTCACCCTCCAATGGCCGCCGCGGCCGGCGCGCTGCGGCCGGCGCACCGCGTTGATCCGATGGCAGGAGCCAGGAGCCAGGAACCAGGAGCCAGGTGCTTTTCCTGGTCTCCCATGGGGTGCAGGGCCCAAGCACCTGGGCCATCCTCCACTGTACTCCCTGGCCACAGCAGAGGGCTGGCCTGGAAGAGGGGCAACCGGGACAGAATCCGGCGCCCCGTCCGGGACTAGAACCCGGTGTGCCGGCGTCGCTAGGCGGAGGATTAGCCTAGTGAGCCGCGGCGCCGGCCTGGAATCTTTTTTTTTAAAAATTATTTATTTTCTTGACAGTCAGAGTTACACAGAGAGAGGGAGAGGTAGAGAGAGAGGAGAGAGAGAGAGAGAGAGAGAGAGAGAGAGAGAGAGGTCTTCCATCCACTGGTTCATTCCCCAATTGGCCGCAATGACCGGAGCTGTGCTGATCTGAAGCCAGGAGCCAGGAACCAGGAGCTTCTTCTGGGTCTCCCACATGGGTGCAGGGGCCCAACGACTTAGCCATCTTCTACTGCATTCCCAGGGCCAAAGCAGAGAGCTGGATTGGAAGTGGGGCAGATGGGACTCAAACTGGGATCCATATGGGATGCTGGCACTGCAGGCAGCAGCTTTACCCGCTATGCCACAGCTCCGGCCCTGGGAATCTATTTTAACCCCCAAAATGCTACAGCCAAATGCCTAAAGGGGCCAGTTTGCTATACACGATGGCTAATGGGAAGGCTTGCCAGTCAAAAGAGACTGCTATCCCCTGGCTACGTGGCAACGTGCGTCCAGCTCTTTAGACTGTTGAAAGAGATTTTTGATGAGAGATTTTCTGATATTTCAATGCTGGTGAGTTTTTCAAATATTTAAACACCTTTCAGGCCAAACAAAATGCATCTGTGAGCTGGACCAAGTTTGCACCATTTGCAACCTGGCACAAAATAAGGGTTCTATAAACAGAAGCATCTGCTCCTACTACCCGATGTGTCTGGTGGGCCATGTGCAGGGGGTGTGCTAGAAAGCACCTGCTAGCGATTTGTCCCAGATTTTCCAGGATGGACAAGAAGGCCTGTGGGGACGAAGGTTAAGCTGCACCTGTAAGCTCATCCCTGGCATTCTAGTGGCTTGGGACCCTCTGGCTGGCTGCTTCCCTTTCTCCTTATCAGCAAAGCAGCTGTGTCTCGGGTAAGTGGCCATGGGGTGATCAGGGACAGGAGCTGATGACAAGGAGGGCGGAGTCCGGACTGGGAACCGGATAGAACCTGGGAACACTACAAACGTGGGTTTGTCTGGGTGTGAAATGGGAGCTCTGGCAGGAGAGCCTGGGTGAGCAGATACTGAACGTGTGTAGTATGCCAGGTACCATGGTGGTTCCCTCCCTCCCTTTCTCCCGCCCTTCCATCCTTCTTCCCTGCCTGCCTTTCACACAACATTCATCCAGGGGCTGCTGTCTGCCAGGCACTGGGCTGGACACCCGCCTCTCACCTGCTGCCTACATGTTCCTCCATGATAGGCATCTTCTCTCTGTCCCACCAACGAGGACCCTGGGCCTGCGGCCCCAGATCTGTCTAGCTCCAAAGCCTGTTCTGTTCATGCCCCAGTGCTTTGGCACAGGGCACAGCACATCCATCGGCTGCGTTCTGACATCTCTGTTGCCAGCAGCGCTAATATGGTAGGAGGAGCGGCAGACTTCTACGTGAGTGTTGAGTCTACCAACCAGAGGCCATGGCTTGAGTTGTCATATAAAGGAGTGAAGTAGGAGTGTGAGGATGACTTGAGACCCGCATTCTTCTCGAATCCATGTACAAAGGAACAGGGAAGAATCCGGCAGTGTCCTAGGGTTTTAATGCTGCTGTTGATACCGATTGGTGTCATTCATGGTCTGATGGGAGTGACAGAAGCCTGGGTAAGGGCTAAGGGAGGCTTTGCTGTGGACCTGGGTGAGCAGATGTCCTTCGAGACCCTCCAGATGGGGTGGGCAAGGCTGCTGGACCGTGTCCCACCTCGGTCAGATCTGAGTCGGATGGGGAAGGTGGGGTTTCACAGCCGGATGCACCATGACCTGGTACTGAGGCTCTAGGGTGAGACACCCTGGGCTGCCGCCTGTTCTGGTTTCAATCTGCTTCTGCATGGGTGACTCAGCCAACAGTAAGAACTGAAGTGGGGGAGATAGCTTGAAGGAGAGTCTATGAATCAGGGCTCTCTAGATTACAAGTGACAGAAACTCAACTTTAACTTGTGGATGGAAAAAAAAACCTGAAATTTATTGCTTTGCATAACCTAAAGCTTTTCTGGGCAGACTACACCTGCAGGCATGGCTGGATCCAGAAGCTCAAACAATGTCTCCGGTCAAGTCTCCACTGCTGTCCTGTCTCCCTCTGCTCCCTCCCTCAGGCTCTGTCACAGCTTCCAGCAACTCTACGTCCACATGAGCTTTAATTTCAGCAGTTCTATGGAAAGACTTTTTCTGTGCAAAAAATAAATAAATAGTCCAGGAAGTAGAGCTTTGTTCAATTGCCTGTCTCTGGACCAATCACTGGCCAAGGAGGGCCTGGGATGAGCTGATTGGGCAGGCCTGGATCACATGGTCTCTGCTGCATTTGGTGATCAGGAGAGGGGCAGGTCTCAACTGAGCTGTGTGACCTGGAGAGAGGAGGCAGGAGTTCAGTAGAGGAGAACGGGCATGGGCACAGACACCCCCCCCCAACCTGGAGTTAGTGGGTGTGGCCATCAAGGTCTGAATGACCTGGGCAGCACCTTCGCCTCTGGTCTCTCTGCTCTCTCTGCTCTGTACACCCTGCTTTGCTCCTGTGCTCTGCGGACAGGCGTCTTTTGCCTCCCTGCAGGCGTCCTTGTCTTCCATACTCCCATTCCCTCTCTCCATCCACGTGAAGGGTGCACATTGACAAGTGTCGAGTCCCAGTGCCTGGGAAATTGTGCACAGTGCCTGTTGGGATCTGTCCGATAGCTGCTCACCCCCTTGTCGTAGGGGCTCCTTGGTTTTTCTCTGGAGGGTGGTCCTCCCACCCCCCTCCACTGAATCCATGTAGTTGAGGCGAGACTCATGCCCTCCTCCACGTCACCAGCTCCTGGGATGAACCTGTGTTTCGGTAGAGTCCTCAACTTCTAACTTTTGCTGAGAATTCTGGGAGAAAGGCATTCTCATGGTGCAGGTCATTTTTCTAAAACTGATGCAGGTCACACACACTACGGAAGAATAAAGCCAACAGAGGCAGAAGCGGAACTGAGACAGCCTCGGGAGCTTTTTTTTTTTTTTTCCTGATCACCTGGATCCCGTTGTGCCTGAAGGCCTTTCCTCCTTGACGTCATCTGCACAAGCAATTCCATTCCCATTTTGCTTGAGCTAGTTTGTGTTGCAGGTCCATCTTTTGCAATCAGGGTTCCATATGAAAATGCAGAGACTTTAGTTTGACTGTAGTTGGATTATGGGTTCGTGTGTTGAGTTGCAACATCTAACATGGTGATAGGCAGAGGAGAAGTTTTGACGGAGGAAACTTGGAGGTTGGGTCAGGCTTGCTGATAGCGGTAACCACCCACCCATGAGTGGCTATTTTGAAAAGGTCAGGGAATGGGCATGGCAATGGCAGAGGGAAGTCCAGGCAGGAACTCAGAGAGAAGCAGAGCCAGGTAGGCTCCATGGTTTGGAGGGGGCTGGGGCCTCTCCAGGTCCGTATGAGACTCAGCTTGGGGACAAAAGTCTCCGCCTGTTGGGGAGATGGATGGCCCTGCTGAAGGGGTCAGGCCTGGCTCACAGCCTCAGCTGGAAACGTGACTATGGCCGGAAGACTCAGGGCTTAGAGCCTGGAGCCTCAAGCAGCAC